TCAACACGGAAGCCTACATCAAGTGCCTTGAGTAGGATGTGCTGACTTGGGTCAAAAGGGTGTATGCTAGAATACCCTATATGTGGCAACAGTAATCTGCCACAGAAGTAGGAGAACCAAGCCATGGCTATCAGACAATTTCTGCGACCACATTACTCCTTAAATTTAGTCACTTAACTCCACAGATTGCAACGCCTCCTTGATTATTATATATGCGGCACAGTTGAGCAACAGAGCAACAAAATTCTTTGTAACGCTAAACATGAATTGGAGCTAAGGATTATGACTGCATTCACCAACTTAAATAAGGAGACCTCCCAGAAGAGTTGCACGAGATTCAGAAAGTCGTCTGGAGGTCGCATTTTAAGCCAATGGCGATTTTATTGAATAAGTTTACTCTTTAATATTTCAAGATACTTTTGTGTGATTTTGGTAATTATGTCTGGTGAAGAGATGGCAGTGTTATTTTCTTGTTTGCGTAATTAAGACAATTTATCCGTCACTCTGTGTATAATTTGTCTGATCAAAAAGTATCGATACTTTTACTATGATAACGGAGAGTAGGTGTTTGTCACAGATTGCACATACACACTAATTTAAATTGTTCTCGTTTATTTCCCTTATTTAATACAGTATTTGGGAGGAAAGTGTGTAGAGTGTGGTCGCCTCACCAATTCCAGAGAGGTTCCATCCGTGACCATGATATGTACTGCAGCTTTTTGCCAAGAAAAAACATATCCCACTACTGAAAAACACCAGTCCTCAGATCTCGTCCTTTCCGATTTTTTTTTATTTTTTGAAGATTTGAAAACGTCAAGGAAATCGAAGATGATGCGACGAGGAAGCTGTTCGCTATTCCAAACAAGGGAATTTCAGGAAGGTTCCCATCAGTGGAAATGACGCTGGATAAAGAGTACAGCTTCAGGGGTTTGCTTCGAAGGAGATTGAATTTCGAATTGCTATATACTGTAGTTATATTTTTATAAGATCTATCGATATTTCCATGGAAAATGTTCAGATGGACTATACCTGTCCTAACCTTCATGCCACGTATATTGCAGTAACCAACGTCATTCCTTGCGTATCCTTTGGTGAGATATATGTTGGACTCGTGCAGCTTCATTCTTCGAGTCGCTGCTTCTATGGTCAACCGTTATCTTCCACACATCTCTCAGATGCTCTGCCTCTTATCCAGTAAACGGCTATCTCAACTGTCTCTTGGGCCTTGTACAGGGAGAACATCACTGTAATACAAATCTAGCTCCATATTATTTATTATTCTTCATAAGTAACAATCGAAAAATAAGAATAAAACAGAAACGCAAATCTAGCCTGGTTACCTGGCGTAGTAATTTTACCTGATATTCATTACATTGTAGATATCAATACGCCGAAAGCTAAAAACAATACTTCAGGGGAACTATTTTCTCTAATGTACGTTTTCTTTTTTTTTTCTAATTTTTGCTTCACCGATTTTCAGCCATTGTTGTCGTCGTAGTCAACAATGTTGCGATTTCTTTCATATTAACTTGTTTTTTGGTTTCTTTTGAAAAAAAAATTTTTGCATATACATATATATGTTTTTTTTTACTATTTAACCATCTAGATTTGTTTGTCGTCTGTTTACTTACTTCCGACTGACCTGGTGTAATGGCTAAAATTGTTACAAACTAAAGGCAGCCAGATATGAATGCAATACACTCGCGTCTTGATAATAACAATAATAAAATACAGAAGATACTAATGACTTACTGATATTTGCTTTTTTCTTTTTAAAATATTTTTTTATTTTATTTTGCTGTCTGTCTGATATTTCTCCTTGCTTTGTGCTTTCTTGTCGTCTTATTTAGTTTCATTCCTATTCCTTGCTTTATTTTGGTCAATGGCGGACGTGATTTCGATATTTTACTTTGTTTTGCTTTCTTTCTAACTACGTCTTTTCTTCTCCAATTATTGATTTCGTTTCTTTATTAAATTATGTCAATAAGTCCGTAGGCTAATGGGTGGATGTGCGGACAGGAGGTAATGGATAGCATCTCGGAAGAAAAACGCGAAGAGACGAGTTCGAATTCTAGTCGGGTTTGTTGCATTCACTTTCGCGCAAACTCTGAATCTATCTCTTTCACCAACTATTGGATAAATAGTAGGATTTGTCCATTTAAAAATGTTATATACGAATAACGTGTCGCTACCGACACTTGTGTTTGAACGTGACAATGGGAGTAACGCATACGTAGATAGTAGCGTCAAGTCTAATGGATCGCTATTTCTAGTCTATCCTCTATTAGTATACAAATCACTTCTTCTCTATCTTCTATTAATATACGGTCTGCTATCTTCTATACTACTCACTATACTATTTTTCTTTTCGGATTACTATTCGATCGAGTATTATCGAGCAAGTACTATTAGTGCGAGTGTTATTCGAAGGCGTCTGACACCAGCGTTGTTCAACGGCGTTATTATAGTTGTATCTGCGATTACAAATTATCTAGTACAACGAGAATTGCGAAAGTGACAACGGTTATTCGTTGATATCACAAAAATTAGCATATCGCAGGGAAAACTCGAAGAGACGTGTTCGAATTCTAGTCGATTTTTATGCATCTGCTTTCACGCAAATTATGAATTCCTCTCGACCCCTAACAATAGATTAAATAGTATGATGTGTACCTTTAAAAATAAGTGTTATTCTCTAAAACCTGTAATTAAATATTCAATAAAAGAATCAATTATTCTTACAAATGGTGATAAACCGTAAAAAACAGATCAACGAAAGTTTTAGGAAGGAAACTGCCATCAGCACTAGAAAGTGGCGTTGGGAAAACTATTTTCCTAAGAAGTTGTTTTAAATGAATATTTTAAAGAATTAAAAAATAAAAAAAAAGATCCCTGAAAACAATACGCTGACAGTGAAAAAATAGCGAGTCCCGGTGTTTTCTTTGAAATATTTACATTTTCGGAACTATTGTCCTTATCTTTATTGTTATATACACTACGTTTCAGCAGTTGTACGCTCCGGCCTTCTTCAGGTGATATACGCTGGTATTTTACCGGCATTAAATAACACTGTAAGCTTGATATGCCGTAAAATAAACCCAACCAAACCAAACCTACCTAACAATGTCAACAGGCAGACATTCAATTTTTAGGTCAGCTAGTGCTGTTCTAGTTCCTCTTCAGGGAAGCGAAGAAACATTGACCCCATCACAACTATGTATTATTCATCACCTAGTAGAAAAGAAATTACAAATTAACTTGATGCTTTTCATAAACACTCGCTTCGTTCAATATGCGGTTGTACATGGCAGGATAAAATCTCTAACCCTGAGCTTTTCATCAAATGTGGCATTGGTAGTATCGAATCCTTTCTGATGCAATCACAGTTCAGATGGGTTGGTCGTGTCATCAGAATGAGAGATGATCGGATGCCGAAAATCCTCATATATAGCCAACTTTTTCATGGTAAGCCTAATGTAGGCCGTCCTTGATTACGCTTCAAGAGCAAGCTTAATATTGAAACTTGACTAATGCATGGAATAATAATGCAACACAAAATGTACTGAAACAAGAAAATGTACACAATATTTATATATAGTCTTTTGTATATTCCTGGTAAGACCGTTCCTGGAGAATGTGTTGACTGAGTCGCAGTCGGGCAGAGTTTCTGGTTGAATCTCTTGATTCCTGTATTTATCTATCCACTCACGAGGATAAAATGTGGCACAAGGCCGGTTTAAAGTGTGTATCTCCGAGCCCGTAGGCTCGGCCAAAAATATGGCCTTTCTGAACCCGCCTAGACGGGTTCAAGGCCTGTCTACAACCCCGGACGAAACCCTGCCTCTCGGCAAGGCTCGTCCATGTCCCTCACTGCAAAATGCAGAGAGTTCGACTGAAAGTGAATCTCTTGATTCCTCCCTCTCTTCCCGGTACCAACCATATTTATATGGTCGGTACTCCACTATGCAAATTAGGTGGATTCTACCACAACATTAAATACAATTTAAATGCTGCAGAGGAGTTCGAACTTGCTGTTAAAAACCGAGCAATTTGGAGGAATAACTTTCACCGGAGTATAACTAACATTTAAAAGAATCGTAATAAACATCTGAGAGAATTAAGAACCAACATTAAATCTCAGGCCAATACATCAGTCCATATGACGGTTAACTCTTCAGCATGTCCTTCGTTTGGACTTATCCCGTGTACGATTGTTGTCTCATACGAAACATAAACATAAAAACTAAACTGAAAAACATACGTCGAAAACGACGGGAGAGTCCATCGCACTATAGTGATAATGTTGACATCGGACAGGTATGCACTTGAGTCAAAAAGTTAGGCAAATATATGGGTTGTTAGGCAAATATCTGGGCTTGTTCAAACCGGATATAGATTAATTATTTTCCATCCTACAGAACACTTTCCCACAGAAGAAATCTTGATAGCCTTTGGTAAATCTGTCGTTATTTCTATGGTAAGAGTTCTGACGAGTTACATTCTTTACTTCCATCGGCACTGACCTTTGCCTTTGGCACCCGCTATGCCACACAAGCACAGATGAATCATTTGCATTCCTTTAGTATTTCATTGGTAAAAAGTGAGTTTCATTTGGTTTGCTTCTTTCCAAGAACTGCTGATTTGTCGATCAAACTCCCGGCATGATGTTTTCCAAATAGCTACCATGATTTTAACATAACCTCTTGAACTGAACTTGTAGCCTTTTCTCATCTACACACAACGTCACGCAGTGACCTTTTAAATTGAGAGGCTCTTGGGCATTGTATTGTGTGAATATTAGTATAAAAATAATCAGTGACGGTCTCTTCACGTTTATGCATGGTTTTTAGGAGGACCGAACGTATTTCAGTAGTTGTGAGAGGCGAAAAACTATATTGCTGCCTATTCCCTTATAGCAACAACCTTCAGTGGTATTCTCTTTGTCTTTTATTTTACATACTTCATTCTTTCATCAGTATTTTTTTCTTTTTTTAGTGTGTATGCTATCCTATTTTCAACGTTTCATTCAATGTTTTCATTCTGTCTATATTTCCTTCATTTCTCTTCTTTTCTTTATATGTTTTAATTTCTTTCTTCTTGATTTTTTTTCTTGTTTTCTTTTTTTTTCTTTCTTCTTGTCTTTCTTTATTTATTTATTCTTTCTATCTTCTTATCTTTCTTTCTTTCTGCTTGTCTTTTTTTCTTTCTTTCCTCCTTGTCTTTTTTCTTTCTTTCCTCCTCCTTGTCTTTCCTTCTTTTTTTTTATTTCTTTCTTTTACTTTCAAAACTTCTATTTTATAAATTTTTCTTTCTCGGTTCTTTAATTTTATTTTACATTATCCACCATCTTTCAGCGTTTTATTATTTTTTTTTTTTTAAATTCCTTCTTCTTTCTTTCTTTTCCGTTGTTAATTTTCTTTCACTCCTCATCCTATTTTCAAATATTTTATCATTTTTTCTCTTTCATTCCCTCTTTTTTTTTTTTTCGAATTGTTTATATATTTTATTCGTTTATTTTACTTGTTTTTTTTTCTTTTTCAATTTTCACTCACCTTTATTTTATTTTAATATTTTAGATTTCTTCCTTTCTTATCCTCTTCTTTGTTGTTTTCTTACCTTTTCTTCAGCTATTTTACTCTTTCCTTTTAGAAATATTTCTTTATTAACTGTCTTTCCTTCTTGACTACATATTTTACTTTCGTGTCTTCCTCTTTCCCCTGCTTTTTTTCCTTACTTTTTTATTATTTCTTCTATTGGCGTTTCCTTTTTACTTTTTTTTTTGGCCGATTTTTTCAAATTTCTATTATTAGCAGTTTGAAATTCTTCTTCTTTCTTGTTTTTTTTTTTCGTTTTCAATGATTTTATGATTTTTATTCATTTTTTTATTCTTTTGATTTTAGCTACTTTTTTTCATTAACTCTTTCTATTATTTTTTTCCTTTCGTAAATTTACTTTACCTTCGTAACTTTTTTATTCAATTCCTTCTCGATTTCTTTCTTTTTTTCATATTTTTTCGCTATTTTTCATTTCTCTCTTTTTCTTCACTAATTAAATGTTCCTTTTTTCTATCTTTTTTAAATGCTCTTTCTTTTATCCAATTTTTGTTTTGTCCTCCTCTCTGTATTTGCTTTCTCTTTTCCGTCTTTGTTTTACATTTTTGTTTTTTTCATTCATTATTTCTTCCCTTCTTTCTATTTATCTTTGTCTCTTTCTCCCTTTTTTTCTTTCTTCATTCATCTTTCTTTCTCTTTTCTTCTTTTGCCATCTTTCTTTCCTTTCTTCCCTATTTTTCGCTCTACTCTTACAGGCTATTTCATTTTTCATCCTTTATACTCTCAGCAATTATCTCCCCTTTTCGCCATTTTTTTACCGCTTTTTCTTACATTATTTTTTTTAATGTTTTTTTCTTTTCTTTTTCGCAACCCCTTCCACTTACATTTCCATATTCCGATTCTTTACTCGGCTGTACTTTATTCTCCTTCTTTTACGCAGACCCCATTAACGCTGGTTGAGATTAGTCTCAAAATATTTCATTCACAAACATTATTTTCGAAAATCACAAAATGGCAGACCACCAAAGGCTATGTATTTTAAAGGCACTGCGCACGCGTGATTCAAATTATCTCGGATCTCCAGCGAATAGAATGGCCTGAGGCAAACGAAATCTCACAGACGGTTCAATAAAACACCATTATACACAGCGATTGTCTAGTTTTTAGCTTGGTGTGTTTTTAGCCAGTCGGGCCACTTCGAAAGACACTTGTAGTTTTAGGCACCGTCTTACCGAATGCCATTTCTCGGACTTGAGATGTTCTAAACTTAGAAATAAAACTCAAAGTTGGCGTTCGAGCAACTTGCACTTTTCGGAACAAGCTTGAAGTGGCTCGTTATCACTTACTCAATTAGAATTTCATTTCAGAACATGATACGACTCCTTATATCGATCAAATTGCCACTTATAAAATCCATGATATTTTGAATAAATAAAATTGAATAACGCAGTTTTCCAATCCGTTTACACATTCTAAAAATGTCTTAGCTTTATTTCAGCAAAATTGTATTGTTTCTAAAATATATAAACAGCTTAAACGTGTTCATACATGTAGTCATTTTAAATATTTTTAAATATATTTTTTCACATTATTGTATATGTAATATTAAGGGAAAATCAATTTAATACTTTTCCTTCATTTCTCTTATTTTCTTAATTTTTTTAAATTTCTTTCTTTTTTTCTTCTTGTCATTCTTTCTTTCTTTCTTTCTTTCTTCTTGCTTTTCTTTCTTTCTTTTATTTCTTTCTTTCTATCTTCTTATCTTCCTTTCTTTTTTTCCTCCTTCTCGTCTATTCTTCTTTCTTTTGTTCTTTCTTTCTTTTACTCATTCTCTTATTAAATTCGATCCCCCAATTTAAGTTCAGTAAAATCACATATTTTAATACTATTTTTTTACATTTAGTCAAAAACGAAGAAATATTATAAAACCCTTTTTAATTTAATTTTTGAAATTTATTTATTTTTTAATTGATGTGATTTCTAAGGATTTGTTGGTAGAATATTCAAAGCCAAAAAAATATTTTTTTACATTTAAAAAAAATTATCTTGAGATAATACTGGTGTAATGGTACAAAATCTCTTCTTGCTGTAGTCTACGACGAAATTATTCAAAATGAACCGTAAATATAGTAGGATTGATATTGCTTTTTATTTTGATATTTTCTTTACCTTTTGGAAAGCAACTGTTACCATTCCAGTCTTTATAATTCTACTATTCGTCCATACTTTTAATATTTCTGCGACATCTGGTTTGCTGCACCTGCTATTTATAAATCCAAAGATGAATCTGAAAGTTTACTGATCCTTCCCTCTCTCTTTTCTATAAATACTTTCATGGTCATTGTTCTGGCGAGATCTCCAAGACATTAACAATTTAATCTCAGTACTAGATTGGCAGAGCCGTCTCATCATTTTGCAGTTCAAATGGCAAGATGTAGCCGTAGGTTCTATGCTTACTGTTTCTTCTTTCACACTTCTGGCTTGTTGAACTCACTTCTGGATTCCAGCTTCCCAGTTAAATTTGATTTTCAAAAATTTTAAACGCATTGTCAATGGTTGTCTTCTGTCTTCAAAAGTCTGGTTATTTTATTGCTTTCGTGTGAGTATAACGTCTTTCTTCTCATTATGTGTCTTAGAAATTTCTATTGTCTCTTCCGATCCTAAACAAACATCTCCTTTATATTTCCAGTTCCGCTAAAACCTTCTCGTTACTTATACGTTTAATCCATAACTTTCTTAGTATTCTTCTGTGGAACCACATCTCTGCTACCTGAAGACTGCGAGGAAATTGTCCAAAATCAACTGCATATAGTCGCATTGATATTACATAACAGAAACAATTCCTATTTCTTAACATTGTGCTTAATTTATGGAAGGTGATTTCGGATGCTTGTGTTAAGTTTTGCAGTGTCTGCTATAACGTTTCCCAATAGTTAAATATTTCAGTACTTGCTTTATTCCGAGACCACCAAATATTAGCTCCCATCTTGACCTTTCCACTTGCTACTGACCATATATTGTTTTCTTACAAATAATGGTTAGTCATTTGACTATTTCAAACCTTCACAGGTAAAGATCCGCCTATGCCATGCATTGTAGCTAACCCGCCTCATACCCTTCGTCTTCCATTGGTGAGATGTAATTTTCGCTCGAACAGTTCCTTCCCACGAACTCTTACTTTGTGGAACCGGCTTCCAAGAAAACGCCTTCGCGATCGCTATGTTCTTATCCTCGAATTAACGGTTATCTTCCCCTGCGCATATCCTAATAAGCTGTGCCCCTTACCTCAGTAACCCTCTACCTCAAGTGGCTCTTGTGGCTTTGGGCAGAGTAAGCAATATTGAAAAAAATAACCTGTAGAAAGTTATATATAATCGTTTAAACAAGTCTTAAAATATGACGCCGTGTGCTTAATCATCGTCATCATCTGTCTCCTGACCGGGTGCGATCCTAGTCCCTCTGCGCAATAAACACCTGACCATTTCCCATCATATATCTCAGTTGTGTACAATTGGTTGTGTCTCTTTGAATTATCTCCGAGTCCTGTTTCTTGCTGTTGTGGAGTAGCTGAACACCCCCACAGGATCAACTGATATAAGAATATTTAAACTCTCTCTCTCTCTCTCTCTCTCTCTCTCTCTCTCTCTCTCTCTCTCTCTCTCTTACTGAGGTAGAAGAGTTAGTGATTATAGTAACTCTGCTTGTCGATTTTCTGTCTCTGGGTTGAGAGAAACACAGACGGGGAGGTAGACAGCTACCCGACCTTGTGTATACCGGGTCTCGGACAATTTTTGCCCGAGCCTACGGGCTTGGAAAGCCTCACATTAAAAACCAGCCTTGTGCCACATTCCGCCTAATGTTTCGTCTGGAGAGGAAGACATCTGCTCAGGTGTACGGGCAATATTTGTCCGAACGTACGCGCTCGGAAAGCCTCACGTTAAACCCGGCCTTGTGCAACATCCCGCCTTGCGGGGAGGTCTCGGGTAAATACTGAGGCGTTACTGATTGCAGTTGACTCTGCTTGTGGACGCTCTGCCTTAGGGCGGAGAGGAATCTACACGAGGCTATGCCTATGGGCAGAGTTTCGTTTGGGGATGTAGACAGCTGCCCAACCCCGTGTATGCGTGTTCTACGGGGAATTTTACCCCCGAGCGTACGCGCCCGGAACGCCCCGCGTTAAAAACCGACCTTTTTACCGTATTCCGTCTAGTACCACATCCTGCGTTGTTGGGAGGTTTCAGGTAAACACCGAGGAGTTACCGATTAATCGTTACTCTGCTTGTCGACATCTCTGCATCCAGGCAGAGAGTAAATGAAACGAGGCTCTGCCGAAGAGCAGTGCCTCGTTTGGAGAGGTAGACATCTGCCCTGAACCGTGTATACGGGGTGTACCGGCAATTTTTGTCCGAACGTACGCGCTCGTTAAAATCCGGCCTTGTGCCACATTCCGCCTAATGGGGATGTCTAGAGTAAATACCGAGGAAATAACGATTAACTGTTTTTTAAGTTACTCTGTGTTCCTCAACCATGTACATTATCCTCGTGAATAAGCTACGTGTATGAACCTTTCCTATTTACGGCACAATACTTGCTCGATGGCATTTGGTACTGTGTCATTTTTTATGCGGTCTAGGTAGGCAATGCCTTGGATGATACTGTAGCATCTAATTTCTAATGTTTGGTTTCGTTGGTGTAATTCTACCATTAAAACCTTAATAACACAAGAGTGGTAGTTCCAATATAAAATTATATTAATATTTTATGCCGTAAAGAATGACGCCATATTATTAATCATTACCACCACCATCATCATCATCATCATGACTATGAGTAATCGTAGTATTTTCTCATGCACAAATTGTATACCGGCTATGGAGATATAACTGCAGCATATGACAACACCAACAGGGATTATTTTTTCATCCAACAGAAAGTAATTTCAAAGCTTAATGTCTCCTCTGAATGTCGAGATCCTATAGAGGAATTATATTAGTCCAAAAATGTGTACATGTTTGACGAGGCTCCCATTACTGCAACATTTCAAGCCTGATCAGAAGTATCACAAGTAGGAAATGAGAGACTCAGTCTATTTAATGACTTCGATCAGAGTATGAACTGCGTAACATACAACTACAGATGCGAAGAGATGGGGAGTGATTCCTTCTGCTGTTAGGAGAGTTTCTTCACTGTGTTGTGACAATTATCATTACCAAAGTCTATTTTACACATTTACATATCTGCCATATATCCATGCATTGAAATTTTCTTCCACATCTGATCTTGTGTTTAGATATGCGTTTAGAGATCCTTGAAAAGAAATCAAAGAAGGATCAACAATGCTATCGGTACTTACTGGAACTATGCGTCCCCTATCGTTGGGATAAGAATGATTTTGAACGGAAAGTCAACCTCCTTTTCCAAGTGTCAACGGATAACTAGAAAGGATGGAAAGAACATTCCTGTATGCACCATGAAAGATTAGTTTAATAATGAAGGCATAAACCCACACTTTTTTACTTTACTTTTATTAAATAATGCAATAGAGGGAATCATTTATTCACACACATAAAAAAAAAAAATTATTGTATTTCAAGCTAATCAGTAACCATATTTTTCACATAATTACCTGTACGCAAAGTAAATATGCATAGAAAACCGAAACAAAAATAATCCCACCAATTTGGTGCTGCGAATCTAAATAGAAGACTGGGGCCTTTTATCTTTATCTGCCAGATCCCTTCAGGACATAGGCGATCAAGGTTCTCCACTTCCCAGTATCCCATGTAGCTGTCAATAAGTTTTGTCCCTTTGCTAATTCCCCCATTATGTCATCCACTTGCTTAAACTCGACAGGTATGTCATGCGTTGCTTTCCATTGATTCTCTTTCTCTCTATTCGACCTGTGAGTATCAGTTTCTCCAATCCCTCCTTTCTCATTATGTGTCTCAGAAATTTCAGCTGCCTCTTCCTGATGTTAATTATACGCTTTCTCCTTGTTTGCATCCTCTCCAAAACCTAATCTTTGCTCACACGCTCGATCCATGATATCCTTAGCATCCTTCTGTAGAGCCATACCTCCGTTGACTCAAGTTTCTTCTTCATCTTTGTGAAGACAGTCCATGAGGACAGATGTCACGCAGCAGCCCAGTAATCTTTTCTTTGTTACCAAAGAAATCCTGCTGTCTCGTAATACTCTGCCCAGGTTTTGGAATGAGTCTTTGGCCATCCCAATACGTCTTCGGATCTCAGCGTCGCACTTACCGTCCTAATTTGTCTGTGGTTCTTTCGAGCAAAGTAAGTATTACTGGGGACCGCTAAAATTCGGTTCTAACGACTTTGACAAATCTACATAGCGACTTTTCCTAACAACTCATCCGTCGACTGACCCCTGACTCGCTCCAAATGGTTGGTCTCTCTTCCGACAACAGGCATAATGACTTCTCACACCTAAATAAGTAAGGTTTCTGGTAAATTCCCGCTTCCAACCATAATTCAGCCCGACTGGTTAATTCCGACCACTGTCTTAGTACGTACTCGGGACATGAAGATTCAAATTACTTGTTTTCTTATATACAACAAAATATTACACACAGCAAAATTTACAAATACATGTAGATTTCAATAAAATTGTAAAAATTCAAATAAAATGACGGCATCTAATATACATCTAATTCTTTCCATCTTCATCGACAAGACGTAAGTGAAATCGGTCGATCCACTAATTTGCCAACTGAGTGAGGTTTATGTTATCTAAAATCAGATTTGGCAGAGTACTAGACAAGAGGTTAATGAAGGTTGGCATAAACTGCACAAAATATCTGAGTCAACCTCAGTAACGACCATAGCTTGTTGTTTACCCACCTATGTGGTCTCTAATCTTGAGTCATATACAGACGTAACCGACGCTAACTCAGGTCGCTTCTGTCAGTGTTACATCCAAATTATTCTAAACCAAACGATTTCAACACTAATACTGAGATTCTATACTTAGAGTAGACAATAGACTTTGCAGTTTCAACGGAAAAATACATATTTGAAACATTATCCTCATCTAAAGAGTGACTTTGGCTAACGGATAAATATAGCACCTACTAAATGGACACAAGACCAGCTTGAAAATTAATATAGTCTTCTATTTAACCAATCATTAGTAGGAAAACAAAGGCCGGTGAATCAACAGAAATAGACGGTTTGTAAATCTCCGCCCACGCGAAGGCAGTTTAAAATAAAGACAAGAGCTTTGCAGAATCTTTACCAGCTGTTAATACATTCTCCTGTAGTCTTTTTGGCATTTCTCTCGTGTAGATTTTACTAACCACTTAAGAGCCTCCAGCAGACAGAAACAATTTTCAAATATTCGTTGGCGAAGCGAAACTCCACTTTGAACTAATTTATATTTAAGAGAGAAAATACAGATTCATAAAAATAATCAAATTATTATTAACCTGAAATAACTTACCTTGGATCATCTATCCACGTGGGATGCGTGCCTGCCTCTGTGCTGGAATTGGCTTCGTTCCAGCAACATCTAAATCAGCCATATTTAAGTAAGATGTCTCAACGATGAGTGTGTTAAGGTAGGGTGATTAACTCGGTTTGACTAGACAAAAATAGGGTGTGAGAGAAACGGTGAGGAAAGAAAATGAGGAGAGACTTTTGAAAAGTTGGAAAAAAAAGAAATAATTAACAAAGAAGGAAACGAAAGAATCTTACAAAGGAGAAACAATTATATAAATATATCGACAAGAAAAAACAATAAATTAAAAGAAAGAAAGAAAGAAAGAAAGAAAGAAAGAAAGGAAAAAAGAAAGAAAGAAATGGAAAATATTGAAGTAATGACTAAATAAAAAGAAGGAAAAAGCGAAGAGATATTAAAGAAGAGGAGAAAGGATAAAATGAGAAAGAATGCTTAAAGAAAAAAACAAAAAATTGAAAAAGAAAGACAAAACCTCATCAGTCGGAATGAAAAGAAAGAAACAAACAAACAAAAAGAAAAAAAGCACATAAACGAAAGAATGAAAGAAAAAGAAAAAAAAGAAAGAAATTGGGAAAAGAAACATAAAATTCATCAACCAGAATGAAAAGAAAAAAAGAAAGAAAGAAAGAAAGAAAAAGAAAGAAAGAAGAAAAGAAAAGAAAATATTGAAATAATGACCAAATAAAAAGAGAAAAACGAAAAAATATTAAAAAGACAGGATAAAGAATAAAATGGGAAACATTGCTTAAAATAAACAAAGAAAGAAAGAAATAAAGAAAGAAAAGTAAAAGAGAAAATAAAGAAAGAAACTGAGAACAATGTAAGATTAATAAAAATGAGAGAACGTATAAAAGAAAGAAAGAGAAATATATTGAGAAAAATAAAAAAATAAAAGAAAATATGAAAAGACAAAGAAAGAGACGAAGGAAAATAAGAAGAGGAAAATGAAGATTAATAAAACTGTGAAATTATAACAGGGAAGTACAAAATGGAAAAACAAATAAAGTCTGGATAATGAAAGAAATAAAAAAAAAACGGATGAATGCAGAAAAAAATAAGCGAATGAGTGAATAAAAAAAACGAAATTGAGGGAAAAAAAACAAAGAAAAAATCAAGAAGACCAAAAAAGATATAAAGAAAAAATGTGAATTGGATTATCCGTTTGCACCCGTCCTGGGTAGGACGATAAACTACATCCGAGTCCTGGGTAAGACGATAAAATACATCTGCATCCTGAGAAAACAATAAACTACATCTGCGTCCTGGGTAAGACGATAAACTACATCCGCGTCCTGGGTAAGACGATAAACTACATCCGCGTCCTGGGTAAGACGATAAACTACATCCGCGTCCTGGGTAAGACGATAAACTACATCCGCGTCCTGGGTAAGACGATAAACTACATCTGCGTCCTGGGTAAGACGATAAACTACATCTGCGTCCTGGGTAAGACGATAAACTATATCCGTGCCCTGAGAAAGACGATAAACTACATCCGAGTCCTGGGTAAGACGATAAACTATATCTGCGTCCTGAGAAAACGATAAACTACATCTACGTCCTGAGAAAGACGATAAACTACATCCGCGTCCTGGCTAAGACGATAAACTACCTTCGCGTCCGGAGAAAGACGATAAACGATACATCCGCGTCCTGGGTAAGACGATAAACTATATTCGCGTCCTGGGAAAGACTATAAACTACATCCGCGTCCTGGGAAAGACGATAAACTACATTCGCGTCCTGGGTAAGACGATAAACTATATTCGCGTCCTGGGTAAGACGATAAACTAAGACATCCGCGTCCTGAGAAAGACGATAAACTACATTCGCGTCCTGGGTAAGACGATAAACTACATCCGCGTCCTACGTAAGACGATAAACTACATCTGCGTTCTGGGTAAGACGATAAACTACGTCCGCGTCCTGAGAAAGACGATAAACAACATCCGCGTCCTGGGTAAGACGATAAACTACATTCGCGTCCTGAGAAAGACGATAAACAACATCCGCGTCCTGGGTAAGACGATAAACTACATTCACGTCCTGAGAAAGACGATAAACTACATCCGCGTCCTGGGTAAGACGATAAACTACATTCGCGTCCTGAGAAAGACTATAAACTACATCCGCGTCCTGGGAAAGGCGATAAACTACATCCGCGTCCTGGGTAAGATGATAAACTATATTCGCGTCCTGGGTAAGACGATAAACTACATCCGCGTCCTGAGAAAGACGATAAACTACATCCGCGTCCTGGCTAAGACGATAAACTACATTCGCGTCCTGAGAAAGACGATAAACTGCATCCACGTCCTGGGTAAGACGATAAAATACATCTGCGTCCTGAGAAAACGATAAACTACATCTCCGTCCTGGGTAAGACGATAAACTAAATCCGCGTCCTGGGTACGATGACAAACTACGTCCAACAGCAAGGCCTGTGATCCGGAGGCTTCGAGGAGCCTGGAACCACCTTTTAATTGGTGGTGTTCCCAGGTCCACCCTGATCCGGGTTCGTCGCACCTGTTAAGCTCCCAGCTATGATCAAATAGTTAACCCCCAAACTTGTGTAAAAATAGATTTTCATACCAGAAATACTTTGTAATAAAAAAATTATTACCAGTATTAATTTTTGAAGGAAAATTTTTTATCAACAATAATTAAAATTTACAGCGAAACATATACTATTAGAGTTGGTAGATTTTGATCTAGTGAGAAAAAAATATTACCATGTGAGTAATTTAATATAACTTTTTACGAAAATAAGACCATCCAAGATTGTACATATCCTAAAAGAATTAGGATTGTACTAACAAATATGAGTAATTGAAAAATGGTTCAATTACATATGTATATATATATACACAACTTTTTTTTTACCAAACTATTGCTATGAATATATTTCAAAAATTTTGTTGGCATTAAATGACTAACTGATGTTGATATGCAATAAGACAACACAACCAACCAAACATCTGTTTCCGTCCCTCATTAGTAATCTTATGTCGGACGAAGATCACCTTAGTAACAATCTAGAATGACGTCGCTGTTAACTTCTTCGTTTGCCTGAATAAAAACAAATTCGTGAAATGTCACCGACGTTGTAAATACATTAAGTGGGTTATCCAGTGACATCCATAAGGCTGCTTAGGACAGAAGTAATTTTGTAACATCTGTAAGTTTTCATAAATGCGATGCGGATCATCCGTTTTCTGCAGTCCCCAAGGACACATTGGATAAAAGTAGGTATATTCCTTTTGGTGGTTTTTTTTTTTTCAGTTGAAAAAACACATTGATTTGGAAAATCTTGCAAAAATCAAGTACGTGTTGGATTTTAATGAAACCTTCAGAACTTATTCACAAATGAATGAAATTATTTTAGAAATGTTTGTCTTTTTGAAAGTCATGGTATAAATATTTTTTTTTATATATGTTACACACCTCGAACTTAATTTTATGAAAACTTCAAAAATTTATTTTTTCAACCAGAATTTTTTTTTATTAAATTCACAAGACTCTGAAGATTTTAAATCATTAATTGTTTTGGTAAAAAAATGTGCAAAATTGTCCAAACTTTTACCTCAATTGTAAAAATACAAAACCCAATAAAACTAAGACAATATTTAATTAAAAAAAGCTTTTTATGACTTTTCTGAATAACATATACTAAGGTAATTTTTATCTGAAAGAAAAAAAAAATTTTGATGAAAAATGAATTTTTACAATATTTTTTTCATTTTAAATAGTTTGACAAAATGTTGTTACATATTTTAAAATTAAGATTCTTTATACAACCTTATGGAAATGACATATTATGTTCTCTATTTTTGAAAGATCATAAATTTGAAAGCTTATTAAAATCTGAAAACCGTTGATATTTTTAAAATAATTTTTTAATATTCCAAAATTGTCTCCAATGAAAGTATGAATGCACAGTTTTGAAATAATGTCACATGAGGTAGACTTGTTTCTCTTGAGAGAAGCAAGTTTTTTTTACTTCAGAAATTTTTCCTGAAACGTAAGGTTATTTGAAAGTGAATTTTTTTTTTAAATTTACCAACCAGAACGAATTACATCACTTCTGCGCTACCGTACGATAAATTCCCTTGACGTAATTTGTCAATATATTGACGAACAACAATTAACACCTCTCAATCACGCACCTAGGCAAGCACCACGGTTGGAAATATCTCTATTAAAAAAAATTCTGCTAAAAAAGTAAGTAATGTTTCTTTCAAGTTACATTAAGTATAGTTTAATCATTCTAAATTTCCTAAGATAACAAAAGAAAAAAGTGTATCTGAATTTTACATGATTTTTGAACTAATTCTGATTTTTGTTTACAAACTGGGGGAGAAATGATCGTTAAGATCGAATTTACGAAATTTCTTTTGATTCGAGAAAAACGAAAATTTTAAATAATTTTTTTAACATTTATAGGAAGGATTAAAAAATCTGAAAAAATATTCAGAAAATACTTTGGTCTTTCCTCTTTAATACTAACATAAACATTTACACGTTAAATTTTTTTTAACAATTTGTGGACGTTTTTTCTCCAGGGTATACCACTTTTTTTTTTTTAGCGTTAAATGGGACATACCTAGATAAAAGCGTTGTTTGGTATAATGCAATGACTTGACCCAAAGTTCAATATTCGGGCCACAGCAGAGGTAAACAAAATCTTAGTGAGTTGAGTTACTAAATGAAAATAATTGAAATTGCGATATCCAAAAAAGGCATGTCACAATATGCCCACGTGGACTAACTAGAAGGTTCGGTCCGAAATTCCAACATATATCCCCTGAAGAAGGCCGGAGTGTTCAACGGTCGAAACGTCGTGACTATGACAATAAAGACGAGGATAACAGTCGTAAATAGTTACAATACCTCTCGTCTCAGAAATATAGATAGATCCTTCAATACATGTCTATATTTTTAAATGATGTATTGCAATAATTTACACTAGTTACATTGTTCAAACTGTTGTCCTCATCTTCGTTGCCATATTCACGACGTTTCGACCGATGCACGCTCTGGCCTTCTCCATGTGCTTAGTATTTCGTTCTGAACCCTCTATTTCGTCCAGCGGGGTAGATTGTTCTAATTCCATGCGTCATGCCTCTTTCAAATATCTCAGTATCAGTTATTTCCCTTTAATTAAACTCTCGAACTTATGTTCACCTCAGCTATAGCCAGGTATTGAACACACACCGCTTTGCGCCACGTCAGTGTATCCAAACAACGCTTTTATACACTGGGTCATGTGTCTTTGAGGACCCAGTTATACAGGGTGTCTCCCCTGTCCGTCGTACTACCAGATCCACTTCGTTTCTCTGTCTGCCTTTTCGCGGGATGGTCAGTTTTATAGATAACAATTTTATTTGTCTTGTTATCTTAGTCTAAAAAGTAATTTATATTCATTTGTGACTTTCTCTTAGTCTGAGCCTCTTGCTCTATACTGATAACCATCGGACGAAAGTAAATGTTCTGAAACCATTTTACAGACGCACTATGTGGCCGCTCTTTGAAGATGTGAACCTGACCTTGGCCTTTTCCAACCAATTTCTAAGATCACTGCCTTTGAACCAGTCCTGGCCTTCATATTGCAGTTCAGATCTCAGTATCACCGTTCATATTACTGCAGGCAAGTTATTTGCCTTGGTCAGCTGAGGTGAATAATTCTAAAATTTTTGTGAATTAAATTTGTTTTGTGTTGGTCAAAATCAGTTATAAAAAATATTTGGACACTTGGACTTGTGTCACTTTTTGTTTTCTACTTCTTAATAAGGTAAATATTGGTGTTATGGTCGTTTTCATAGGTTTTAACTTAAAAGTTGACAAACAACATCAATTACCAATAATATGTAATGTTTATGATTAACCTGAGATATATTGTAGCTTCCTGGAAGTTCTTTTTTCTCAGACATATTATGCTTACAGATATGACAGATATGAGGGATTTTGGTAAAACCTGTTTAAATTTATTTGTCACTAGCAGCATGGCCCGGTGTTGCCCGTGCTTGATTAAAAAATGGTACGACTCATACAGCAATCGCTATCACTTGACTTAAAATATTTTTGCCCTTCTTTGCCTTTAAAGGAATGCCCTTTGCTGTGCTGATGTTGCTACATGCCTTACTTCTTGCCTATCTCACACTGCGATTTCTTTTCTGAGCTCTATACTAAACATTAAATCTAAGAACTAAACAAAATGAACACAAAACGATAAGCTTTAAAAAAGGACTCGTAACTGGAAAAACCGAATGAAAAAAGAATATTAACAACAAATACTTTTTCACACCCAACCCAGTTCTGCGGAATCAGAATCAACGTTGAGTTTAAGCAAGCGAATGAGCCAAATGGAGTAAAGTGCCATGCAGATTTAAATTTTTCCCACTTGTGACGAATGCAGCTATCGATTTTTTTTGCATGCTACCATGCTAGTTAACATTCGTTTCAGTCAGCTGTTGGCTCTCACGCTGGCCAATAGAATATTCCTGCCTATCCTTGGCAGCCAGCTATTGGCTCTCACTCTGGACAGTACAAAATGGCTGAAACTACATGAAAACTGCCGTAAAAGCATGAAAATGTCGATTATTTCCACTATCGATGGGAGTTGGGAAATGCTAAGTCGGTCTTGGCCTTTCCGCTTACTTGGAGCATATGCATGTCAATTTTGGTGCAAATCCGTTGAAAATGCGACCGTGCATTCGTTACACACACACACACACACACACACACACACACACACACACACACACACACATACATCCTGCCTTTTATAGATAGAGATCCATGTGAAGAAATGAAAATATGCTATTTGCAAAAAAAATTGTCATTATAGTTCATTTTCATTTAATTTTAATCTTTCAAAGAATATCAAGAAGAATGGTTGGCATATTAACTTCACATATGGCCTTCTTTAATAAAAAAAAGTTTGGACAACCTTGATTTAAATCTTTGAAGATCGTAATTGACAGAAAAGCAGGAGATAATTCAAAAAACGAGAAGTGTTGGAGAAGAAACTTTTAGAAACTTACGGTTACAACGAACCATTTTAGCAGTCAAATTTTATACAACCTAACTGACAATTTAGTACTGCACTTAAATACGTGAATCCGATGTACCAAACAGGAAAGTTTATCAGAACAATTGCAGGTAAATTTTTAGAAGTGCCACCGGGGTCGTTGAAGAAGTTCTAAGCCTCGCCCATAAAAATTTGGAGAAACAAGACAGTTTTAAAGTATTTTTCATTATAGTCCCACTTGACATATATGTACTTGGTCCAACGACGCTTAAGCCTTTAATTCCATCGCGGAAGAAAGTGGCGTCCAGGTCCTCTAAGAACTCCTCCACAGCATATATGATCTCATCATTGTTTCTAAACTGGCTTCCACGCAGGTGTAATTAGAATTTAGAAAACAGGACGAGGCTAGATGGAGCTAAGTCTGGTGAGTAAGGGGGATGATGTAGCAATTCAAAGCCACGGTTGGTTGATTGAGCTACTGTAACTTGAGCAGCATGAGTGGGCGTGTTATTTTGGAGCAAGGGCACACCTACCCTCAACTTCCCTCTCCTTTTCAACTTGATTAGTTCCTTCTATTCTGTTAATTCTGATACAGTCCATTAATAGTTTTTTTTCCCAAGAAATCTATCTTGATTACGGCTTCAGAAACCCCAAAACACAGAAGCCATCACCTTAGCAATAGACGCTACCTATGCGGACTTCTGACTGGAGAACCAGAGTGTTGTCACGGTTTTTTGGGTATATATTGTATATAACTAGTGAGCGAGTCAAAATGACTTATTTCCCTTTATAGTCGACCAATAGAAGGTTGACCAATCAGAAGCCGCACAACACTGTATTCATCGTGTATAAAGGCGGCCATCTTTGTTTTGCTACTGGAATGACCAGAGGCAACTTGTCCGGCGAACAGGACAGACGGAAGAACTACGCTCTGCTAGCTTGATGCGATATCCACTGCGAACCTGTACTACGCTTTCCTACTGTCTCCGAAATATTCACTGCCAACCTCTGGATTCTATACTCGAAGACGACCGTCATGAAAATGTCTAACAAGTGTTTCCGCTGTTTGCGTTGAATCTTTGATTC